AACTTTTGGGTCGCTTAAAATACCAATAAGTTAATAAACTTATTTTAATAATTAAAGACAATATTAATTAAACTAAAGCATGATCATCACTCTTACGATTGCAACCCACATAATTCGAAACAATTGTGCATGTACACACAATTATTACTAGGAGTGAATTATGTTATTTTAAATGTTACAACTGAAAACGTTTCACATCCACACAAATAAATTTCGAGGCAAAAATAATTGACTTAATATTTCCGCTGTTGTGTAGACAATTTTAATATGGAACGAATTATCTATATATGAAAACTGATTAATCACGAGGATAATCCGAGGTACGTGTAATTCACCTGTAAGATAGCAGATTTCTTTATTTATTACCAATGCGAAACCAGCTTACCTCGCCTATTGAAGGGTCGAACTCGAACAGCGACTTTAATCTTATCCGATGCCATTTTGACACTTAAAATACACTGATATAATCAAAACACAACACTTTACACATCAAAGTATAATAAATTATTGCACATATTCACCCATATTCTAAAACAACAAAATTCATTATTTCACGTTACGTTCACGACGGTTCCGAATTGACACTGCCCGCCATATTGTTTTTTCTTTAATAAGGAGAAAGAGTAAAAGAGATAGAGAATAGAGACTGCGCTGTGCAATGCCTACAAAACCGAATTAAATTTATCGGTTTTGTTACGGTATTTCATAAATATAAAATTGAAGAACATCACTTCTAACCTTTTATATAACATTCTACAAGAACAATTAAGTATTTAAGTTTTGTCTTCCTTGATTATAATTTAAGTTATTCAAGTTAAAGAAGAAATTTCTAAATAATAGAGACAAAATAATAGCTTTTTACATAATACAATTGAAATATAAATCACTGCTCTTCAGTCTGTTTTATTTGTTAATCTAAAATATTTAGCAGCAAAATTAGTATCAGTTCATTCTAGCTTTATCACCATTTATTTCACTTATGTTCATGTCAAATGTTCCTTAAAATAAACCCTCAAATTAGAGAAATGAAAATTCCTATTAAATTTTTTTTACCATTTTGAACCCTATAACTTGACATGCTTTTTTTATTATGCAGCTATGCAGGTCTAGAGAGACCAGTATTACTGCGACCTAAAATATCTATTGTAATCGCTGCTATGTCTATACTTCAATGGTAAGCCCTACGACCTAAATTAATAGAAGAAGTTGCTTAGCTGTGAGTAATTTCACTTCTTCTGGGCGAAGTACATAGTTTCCCAGATGAGTGCTGCGTTTGCGCATTAAGGGTCCGCAATTTGTCAGGATGTATAAAGGCGTTTCCTCCTCTGTGAAGCAAAACTGGCACATCCTTGAGTTGCTTAGTCCCAGGATGGATATGTGCTTTTTAAAACAGTGTCCAGTCAGGACTCTAACCACAATGCGCAAAACTTAACATGCATAACATCTACTGAAAGCGTATAACGTATCTTAAAATTTTTAAAGATCGATTATATGTTTTCACTTTTCCACATATTATCGTGAGCGTTATAGATAAAAGATAGAGGATTCTGACGCTGATTAAGTAGTTAGTTTAGACATCCATTTTCTTAGATTTTTAATGCATTCTAATTGTGACGTACATTAGACTATGTATGGAAATTAAAGCTATTTTAACATAATAATATCATCGCGAGCTTATTTATTTTTAATCACTGTGGCTGATTTTTCTGCCTAATACATATCGATGTAATAATGTTTCGATTCAGAGCGCAGTGCTCAGCTCATGACATTGATTTGTCGACTTTAATCATTTTAAGCGTAATGATCCCATATTGACAATATTATAATTGATTTTTGATTAAATTGTGTCACTATAAGACCCAAAAATCTACACAGAATGTTATTTACACACGATAATGTGACTTGGGAATAAGATTCAATTTTTCTCAACAGACACCAACATGTTGAGTAAGTGAAATTTGTCTCTGCATGTTATATTATGTTATATCACTTTCGTATGAGTAGTTTTGTTAAATCACTCTACATACAAGTAACAGGCGTTTTAGATCTATACAACCTGTGTATTGTTGTAGTTTTGGTATACCCAGTAATACACAAAATGTTCCGTGCCTACATGAGAGAGACCACACGTTTCAAAGAAAGGATTAAATTATCATAATAGTAACAATCTTTTTAATTCCCATTGCAGTTCTAAACTTGAACCTCCAATTAATTAATATAAGAATCTACTGAAGTTCAAATCCACTGCGAGTAGTAAAATTTCTTTCATATTTTTCACTTTGCAGACGATTGCTTACTTAGCAAGAAAGAAAGTGATTTACAGTTTTCAACTAACTTCAAAAAGGAGGAGATACTCAATTCGACTGTATGTTTTTTTTATGTGTTACCTCTAACTTTTATCTAGGTGAACCGATTTTGGTGCTTCTCATATGGTCTCATATAGATCAGCCATCAAGGTCTGATCAGTAGTTTTTGAGTTATTCTTAACAATTTATATTAAAGACCGTTATACTCAAATTTAAATTTTACTACTTGTTTGAGTGTGGAAAATGATTGCGAGGTTTGAGTTGAGAGGTTGATTTAATTTTGTCGTACTAAATCGTGGTTTTGTGATTAAGATATCAATATGAACCGATTTCTAATTGTACTCGGAATTTAAATTAGCTTTGTTATATCTCGCAAAAGCTCTGGCAAAAATACAATTGTACAAGTAGTTACCATAGGAAAAAACACTACTTACCGTTGTCCATAGACTTATTATCTTAATCCTCTATTACGCCGTTGTCCAAGCATTGGCTTAGAAGTATATTTATATTTCTATGTGGACGTAGTTATGCAAAAAGGATCCAACCCGCGATAAGTTAATTTGAGTTAATGATATTTGAACTATCCATACTTCAAATATCATAAACTAAAATTATCGGTATGGTTTCTGTCTGTTTGTTATTTTTCTTCATATGTGTGTTACGTTTGCTAAAATTGTTACATCACATAATAGTATAGACCACAAACATTATTTTTCAAGTCAACATTTTTGACGCAAACTCGGGTTGGATCCTTTTTGCGTAACCACGTCCATTTGTCCAAATCACTGATTTCGAAGTATATGGACCGGACATAGCTACAGAATTAGCGTGATTACCTTAACAAATCTGGCGCATAAAATGGCTGCCTTTTATAGGGTTGTAACTCAGCAATATGGGCAGCTGATATCGATATTTTTACTAACATGTGTTTGTTCTTATTTCATATAATTATAGAAATGAAATTCATAGCTTTATTGCGTAACACACCTAAAATGGCAAACATACCAATTTGACAGTTTTACAACATCCATTGAGTGGTTTTTATTGTCGAGCAAACGAATTTTTCAATCACATGAAGCAATGGATATTGTTGGGTTGTTAAATTAGTTTTGGATTGCTTTCCCTTAAATTTCGCTTGAGCTGCTTCACCAGGCTTCACCACACCACAGGCTACACCTACGCAATGCATACTCTGCTACAGATTTTTTGTGTTAGGTACACAGTCAAACAATGAGTTATGTATGCAGGCAGCTTACTTGCAACTTGTTTCAAACAATGTTCTGAGTGTGTTAAGTGCTTACTCGAGTTTTGAAGTTACACTTCTTTTGGTGCGTTTGAGAAAAATGATGAGAGTGCATTTTTTACAACTTCAGTTGGTGATTTTCTATCAATTGTTAAGTTTTCGTGAGAACTGATTACTATATTCGAGGTAGTTATTCAAATATATATGAATGTATAAAACGTGTTATATTTTAGTTATTTTTGTTTTGTTACGCCAAAGAAGTATAACTTCTTACGTGCGTAAATAAGTACACACACACACACACACACACACACGTTTTATTTTATATCAATGTGAACAAGGTAAAAAGTTATAACAACGCACACAATAAATATGAATATTGACAGAGTAGTGGGAAAATGAATATTTTTGCTTTTATACCAAATGAGATGGGATGGAGATCCTTGACCCCATATTATAATCCCATATTATAGTATTTTTAATATAAAATAATAATGATAACTTGAGTAAAATTAAATAAACTGTTTTAAAAATCAATACGTTCTGCACATAATTGATCACAAATGGTAAGTTATACAAGCATGTTCGGTCCTGCTGGATATCATATTGAATTTTTTTATTCAGATTTTAAATGAAAATATTATTATTTTTCGTAGGTACATTAATTTTGTTCATTTAAAATTCGAAAATCTGGCATGATTATGAAACGGTGGATGAAATATAATATCCAGAATATATAAACTATTATAATTATTGTATATTCATTTCTGAACAAAATTAATTTATTAAAATAATTTCTATACGACACCATAGATAAGAATGTACGACACCATGTCACTGCTTTTTGACAGTTTGACAGCAGATCTACCACAAAACTTGGCGCTTACGGGGAAAGCTCCAGGGTGGCCCGCGAAACTCAAATTTTCTTGCGTTTTTTGGAATTTGCAGGTCAGGGTGAGGTTGAATGTTTAATAAAATATGATTTGGTACCGTAACGATTATGTGTTTATAGAATTATTAACATTAAAATCACCAATACTCTAAGTTCATATAATCCCTTTGAAAATTGCAAAAACGCCAGAAAATTTGAATTTCGCGGGCTACCCTGGAGCTTTCACCTTAACATGGCGGCGCAGTCACACATGGATGAGCTAATGACGTCACACGAAAGTATTACCAAAATAAGTACTTTACAAACTGTAGTTGACTGTGTTTTCTATTGCAGCTAATGTTTTGTTAATAAAAAAAAAACAGTTTTTGAGAAGTGTCTGTCGATATTATAGATATTTGTATAACTGTTATTTTCTATAGTGTAATATGCCCTCTCCATAGGTATATATCTCTATGGTCCAAGTCTAACTCTAATGTCAATTAACATTGTCAAATTTGACATTTATGTCAATATCACAATGTCAGACTGAAATGACAAGCAAGTTATCCATTTCTATTTCTGTTGTTTGTATTGTATTGTTTTGGGTACATTCTGGTTAGTTTGTGCCGTTTGGTTGAGTTTATCTCTGGTAAAGAATATTTATAATTAACTGTAATAAGGAAACACTAAGTATCTATTCCATTTTTGCAGTCCTGTGACTCCTGTGAAACAGAAAAATGGCAACGGACCCACTATTTGGTTGGGATTTAACATTTAAGACAGTAGAAAAGGATGTGCGTAGCAAATCTGATGTTTTAATAGCTTTTATCCATTTTAATATGATTAAAAGAGGTTTTAGGAGTATTGGAATAGGAGATGAGGTAATCTAGCTGAATAATCTTCACTATGAACTGGAGTAATTAGTTGAATTAATTATTCTACTCATTAAGTAACTGCTTGCTACATTTTTAGCGAACACTTACCGGTGAAGAAGAAAAAAGCGAACTATTACCAAATGGCTGGAATGATAAGGACAATTATACATTAAGATACATTTTGGAGAATAAACTATATATTCTACATGGAATTAACACTGATGGCAATATAATTATCAACCTACTGGTATGGCTCTAATTGTAAATAAAAAATTAGTGTTTATTTTAAATTGCAGGAAATTTGATACATATAAGTATAATATTTTGAAGATTTCTTGCTTGCCGTGAATAAAAAAACATGCCTGTTATTTAATTTAATAATACAAGTGTCATACATTTATAGTACAATATTTTTCTTTATTTCGTAAGTAACAAAGTAAATGCAAGTACATACATATACATACATTACATACAACATACATTACATTACAGTACATTACAGAAAGCTCACTTCGCTGGGTTATTTATTGTCAAATATTTATTCATGTATGTATATTTTATTAAATTAGTTATTTTTTTAAATTAAGAACACATGATGTTTCTTATTAAATATTGAATTTTTTTTCTTACTTACATATTTTTTTATTCACCACAAAATACTTTACAAATAGTCATGTACTGAATACTTATATTGCAATATATTCTTATACACTATATTTACTGTCTTGTGTTCTGGTGCATACACAAATATTTTTTTTTCTGTCTAATGCGCAAATAAGGTACATAGAGTTGACCATGTGAAAAATAGGATTCTCCCAAATTCACTCCACATCTCCACAATTGAACTCCACATTGGAAAGTTCACACTTTCGTCTTGATTCATCATTGTGTCTATTGATTTATACAGTTTTTCATGTTCTGGTATCATATTCTGTATCCTTTAATTAATTTGGTGTACTACATTATTTTTGTAGCTAAAATTGCTCGCTCACACAACCATGTCCTATTTATATAATTCTGTTCAATAGACGGATAAACTTTTTCAATAAGTTCTTCTGTATCTACTACGTTACACAATTCTTTTGATACTTGACTGTAAATCTATAGGATAGGTGCCATTTCCAATTTTTAATGGATTTTCACCAAACTCTTGTGCTTCTGGATCGCTATCGAGTAATTTTGGCTTGCATATTTTCTGTCAATGATAATTCCAGAACATTAATCGCATCAAACATGAGTTTATTTCATCAGCTGGAGTTGATTTTGGAATAACCGGCAGCGTTTGTGGAAAATCTCCGGATAATAATAGAATTCTTCCCAAAGTTTTTTTATTTTTCTGGATATCCCTTAATGTTCTATTTAATGCTTCAAGCGATTTTCTATGAGTCATTGTACATTCCATGTAACTTCCTTGACGTTTTTCACGAACCGCACGTACAGTTGTGTCCAATACTTGAGCCACTAAATGTTTGTGTTGTCAATTGTTACTCATTCTCTCTCTAGATTGCTTTTGTCTGTCATCAATTTGGGCTTTTGTTTCTTTTTGTCTCCTTGATTTTTCTCTAATTCGATGTGTTTCTCTGTAATCCTCAGTGTGCTCTTAGGTCAGATGATATCGGGGTCGATGATAATTTTCTTGTTCTAATTCTAGACGCGCTTCTATTTCTTCTATAGATTCATTTTACCGCGCTGTTTTTTGCCTTTTTGATATGGATCGAGAACGCAAAAAGTTTTTTTACGCTTAGGCATCGTTTTTAATATTTTAACTTTTGACACTGCAACTATTTATTTTGCACTACTTGTTTGCACTTTTTACTTTGCGTGAGATGTACACTTCTTATAGAAAACCTACCCTCACCACTCAAAAATTAATATCAGAAATGTTCTGAAAAGTTCTTCTTTTTTCGATTATTTGTAAACTTAATAGAAGAACACTTTGGGCCGATGAGAATAATTGATATGTTATTTGAATCATTCTAAATAAGTTTAGAGCGTTCCAGATAATTATCGAATATTTTTGAACCATAAAGAACATTCTAGATTATTCTAGAATGATAAGAATATCTTTTCAAATCATTTTAAAACTGATTGTAATTTAAAATTTTCGAGATATAGATATACAGATATTAGAATTTTCTTGATTAATCTCGAAATTTTTAGAACAATCTAGAATGTTCTAGATTAATTAGAATAATCTCAAGTAATTTTAAACAAATGAAATATGTTTAAAAACTCTCAGATCATTCTAGAAATTTTTAGAACAATGTAGAACGTTCTAGACTGATTAAAGTTAGGTCCATCTAATTCAGAATATTTAAATATATTAGAGAACTTTCGAGATCATTCTAAATTATTTTAGAACATTCCAGAATATTCTCGACTAATTGTAGTCCCACAATTTTGAAGATAACTTTTTTCAACCATCGTATCTTTTACACCCCTATAACAATCGACTCGCAACCCCCCTAGTGCATGATGGAGGACTTGTAACTACTACCAAATACAATCATTATTCGTCTTCGATTTGTAGTTTTGGCTGCAGAGTGAAATATAGCCACAAACATTTGTCTTTTTATATATATATATATATATATATATATATATATATCCAGGGTGTGGCGTAAAGAGTGGATATACCTTTACCTACAGGTGGGGGATATCATAACTGTTTAGAAAATAAAAAATGTACTCAGTGAAAGTCTCACCGTTTTCGAGTAATAGGACCTTTTTTAAAATTTTAATTTTTTTATTCTTGTCCATTCTTTTCGGTGCCAAGATCACAAATAAAGGGAATTTCTCTATCTGTTTTTTTTTGTAACATTCTTTAATAGCTATACTATCAAATACTAACTGCAATTTTGGTGCTACATTTACAGCTTCTTTTAAAAAAATATTTAAAAAAAAACATGTTTTGCAAAACTGTCCCAAAAGTTTGACCTTATGTAGTGTAAAAAAATTTATGGTTTCTTTAATCTCGAATTGATGAGTTGCCAGCTACCGAATCTGGTCATGCGTGCTCTTATATTAGAAGATGAAGAGCTAATGGTAGCCATTTTGAGCATTTGTTGTAAGAAATTTCTATCCAATAAATGTCCTTTTAAATGTCTTAATTTATTTCATTTTTTGTTTTAATGAATTCCTCAATAATAACATTAATTTTGTTTGCGGAATTCCAACTCTCCCAAAGGAATTTTAATGTAATTTGAATAAATGATCCATTGCCCATCTTAACAGCAATATTCTTTGCAATGGAAAGCTACAAATACCGAGTTATATACCGTTTCTGAATCTTAATAAACTAGGCAAGTTAGTAATTAGTTAGTCACTCAGGTGACCATACATTTTTTTACACTACATGAGGTCAAACTTTTGGAAAAAAAATTGCAAAACATGTTTTTTTTTTTGAAAATATTTTTCAAGAAGAAACCACCAAAATGGCAGTCAGTATTTGATAGTGTTGCGCACCACTATTAATGTCTTGTACATGGCAACACTAGTTACACTAGTGCCCTCTAGTGTCGAGTAGCAGAACTAGGAGAGTCAAGATCCTTCCAGAAATTTCGGGACCGATATGTACTCGTACATTCTAGATGTCGCTACAGTAGAAGGTTCTGGAAACTATCTGAGGCGCTATATAAGGCCGGTATAGATCACGACCAAGGCAAAGGCAGTATTGAATTGGCGATACAAGAGAATACTTCGAAGCGAAATACCGGCGAACTAAAGTGATTGTGTTTTATTATTAGTGTGGTTTTGGATTGTAATTAGTGTTGTATAATTAAACTGTCAATTTTGGTAATTCAATCGGCAGTTTTTTATTGTCTCGAACCCCTATATATAAAAAAATGCTACAAAAAAAAAACAGGTCGAGAAAAAATTTTTATTTGTGATCTTGGCACCGAAAAAATTGGACAAGAGTAAACAATTCGGAAAATTTTATAAATGTCCCATAACTCGAAAACCGTGAGACTTTTACTGGGTACATTTTTTTTTTTGTTTTCTGAACAGTTATAATGTCCCCCACCCGTAAGAAAACGCCTACTCTACGCCACAACCTGTATAGAGTAAGTGATTTCGCTATATAAGCTTGTTCCATTTATGCAGAGATCAGAAGATTTAGCCGTATCCAACTTAGCAATTAATATTGAGGAAGCAGTAAAAGCAACAAGTGGAAATATTGAGAAATTAATACCTAACCACAAGGATCTTATGTTTAACGTAAAAAGAGACCTTATTGATCTACTTACTGAAAAACCAACCACTTCTGCTCAAACCCAGACAGCAAGTGGTAAGTACTCCTTAGTAATGTTTAAAATTTAAAGTTTATAAATATTTGTACAAAAAATTTGTTTGTACTAATATAAACCTTTGTGTGTGAATTTACAAATAAGTATTTATTCATAAAACCAATTTAGCATTCAGTTCTGGGGCATTCATTATAAACAAAAATGTGTTAATAGAAGTGTGGGGGTACAATTCGGTCTCCTCACACTATCAACTTCTCATGTGGTGACAATTTGCTAGTTCCAGCTTTTGTTTAAAAAAACTGTTGACCATAAACCATTAATAAACACAATATATAAGTTAAAATGAAATTAGTAATTTTTATTCAATATAGGTTAGATAATACAATATATACTTATTGAAATTCACGCTTTTCCCACCGGTTCGGATAAATCCTTTGTACTGGGAGGAAGCAGCAAGAAACCCAGCAGTATTATTTTTATAGTAATTTATAATATATAAAAATTCAACAACGTAGGTAATTATGACTTCACCGATTGAGGACACATTTACACAATATTTGATAAGACAATAGATATAGTGGATATACTATTAATACGGACTTCAGAGTGTGAAAATAATTTTATCCTTTTTGATTATTTGAAGTTGGCTTTTACTTTTTATGGGCGATTGGGCGACAGAAGGAATCCATAGGAGTTGAAAAAAGTTATACGACCTTTACAATGAAAGATCTATAATCATAGTGTTTCATTCAGGGAATATGTAAAAAAATATTCCAAAATATTTAAAAGAGTGCGTTACAGAGACTTTACATTTAAGAAACAAAATTAAGAATGCCTCTGATAAAATTAAAGTGACGGAGTATAATCAATAGTGAAACTGGCAAGATGAAACTATACAATTCAAACTTTCAATTAAATTTTAACAATAATTTAACGAAATCAGATCAAGATGTTGCTACGGCTTTTGAACTATATTTTAACGAAATTCTGATTTTGATTAGGTAAGTCACTCAATTCCTCCCCTGCTGTCGCCGAGTCACTACTCAAACAAAATGTAAATGTCTGTAAAAAAGAATTTGTATTTCATAAAATATTATCAAGTTATATTGTAAAATATTTCAAAACTATTGATATTAAGAAAACAGCAGATCTATGGAGGATTTCTGTTGAAGTTATTGCGTCTATAATAGATGTGATCGAACCACAACTTGCTATTATTTTCAGTGCTAGTATCGAATCTGTTGTGTTTTCTGATTTAATGAAACATAGTAAAGTTATACCTTTATTTAAATCTTGCTGTACATTGGACCCTTCTAATTTTAGACCTACTTCTGTACTGTTAACGTTCAGTAAAATTTTTGAAAAAATTATTCTTGATCAAATGTGAAGTTTTTTTAATGTAAATAAATTACTCCATAAAAATTAGTTTGGATTTACAAGGGGTCGCTCGACATCTGATACCGGTTTTGAGCTTATCAAACATATTTTCTGTGCATGGGAGAATTCAGAAGATGTTTTGTGTATAGATTGTGATCTTTCCAAAGCTTTCGACTGTGTTGTTCACTATGAAACATTAATCAGGAATCTACATAATTCTGGTGCAAAAAAAAAACATAGCGCTTAAACTTAATATATATTATTATGTCATATCTAAATAATAGAACACAAACATTTGTTATTAATGGGGGCAGTGACAGACACTGCTGGATCGGTAGTGTCTATGGGTGTTCCTCAGGGCTCAGTTCTTGGCCCCTTTCTGTTCTTAGTTTATATTAATGATTTACCTTACTTGGTAGCGAATAACCATGATATAGTATTATTTGCTGATGATACTTCGTTGATTTTCCGACTTAAAAGGCAATTATGGAAGTATGGCGAAGTGAATAATGCTATATCAAATGTAGTACACTGTTTTAACGTCAATAGAAACAGAAACAGAAACTTTTTTATTCAATATAGATTATAAATAATACTTATTGAAAGTCACTCTTTTGTTTGATTACCACTGGTTCGGAAAAAACCTCTGTCCTAGGAAGAACCAGCAAGAAACCCAGCGGGACTTTTTTTTTAAATAACAGCTTACAATCATGATGTTACACAAATTAACAACACAACAAATTAGAAATAGCTTGGTAGCGATCACCTCATTTCCAGGGGTTATTATCATCCATAAATTCCTTAATATTATAATAACCCTTTTTATACAAACTTAGTTTAATAAAGTTTTTGAACTTTGAACAGGTCAAACTTTGTATATTTTGCTAGATCAGTTTCAGAATCATTTGCTAGATTGTTAATGAAACGAAATGTATTAAATTCACTACACCTAATGTTAAAAAGGTGAATACCAGTGTGCTTTTAAATGGGGAGGAGCTGGGCCTTGTTGAATTCACTGCTTTTCTCGGAATTACAGTTGGTGCGAAGCTTCAATCAAAGGGTCCCACCTCATATATCTAAACTAGCTAGAAAACTTAGTTCTGCAGCATATGCTGTAAAAAGATTAGAGACCTTACATGTGTTGAAACAGCTAGATTAGTTTATTTTAGTTATTTCCATAGCATAATTGAGGGGGTCATTGTAGAAGCGTGCTCGTCGCGACCCCTGCCAGCCCTTTTCAGGGCTGCAATTCTACTAGCTGCGCACCCATGCCAACGAGGGTTAGGGCGTCCCCCCAAGGCGACGCACACCAGCTCGTCCCCGCTGGTGTGGAATGCAGCGTGCAAAGCGGCGATGGGGACCGCCACCCGTCACGCACAGCCCGACACGGCGGAAGGTGGAGGACAGAGTGCAGAGTTGGCACGTGGAATGTTAGAGGAGGCATGAGAGATAAGACGAATGAGTTGATCGAAATAATGAAAGAAAGAGAATTAGATGTCGTGTGTATGTCGGAGACCAAACGGAAGGGCAGTGGTACTGAAGAGCTCCCTGGCGGGGCGTTAGCTCTATAGTCAGGAGTCCCGGAGAGCGAGAACGCCTGCCAGGGAGTGGGGGTGCTGCTGTCTTCTCGGTTGGTCGATGTTATGACTGAATATAAGGTTGTGAACTCAAGACTTCTATGGGTTCGCTTTAAATTGGGACTGACGAAGTTATTCCTTTTGGCTGTTTATGCGCCGGTAGCTTCGTCGCCCAGGGCTGAGCTGGAGGAGTTTTGGGAGAATGTAAGAGAAGTTCTAGATTTGGCTAGGGGAAACGAAAGAATTGTTGTATGTGGTGATTTGAATGGATGGGTTGGTACCGCTCGACCAGGGTACGAGTCGGTACTTGGAAAGTTTGGCGATAAAAGGGTTAATGATGCTGGCAAGCTTATACTGGCGGTGTGCAAGGAAAAGGGTCTTCTTGTGACAAACACTATGTTTAATCACAAGAAAATCCATATGTATACTAGAGAACGAAAGAATGAGAGAAGTATGATTGATTTGTTCCTGGTGGATGACCGACTGCGAAAACAGGTGATGGATACGCGAGTGTTCAGGGGTGCTGACCTGGGAACGGATCACTATCTAGTGATTACTAGATTTAGGGGTCTGTTCGCGGGTTGGCGCTACCGGACGGCAGTAACAGAACCACAGTCGGTCTGTCGCATCCGAAGCTGGAAGCTTCAGGAAGCGGATACTAGGGACAAATATCATGCGAGGGTAACCGAAAAGCTTGACACCATCGATGGCAGAAAAGAATGTGTAGAAAGAACTTGGCAGAACCTTAGGGATGGAATGGTAAGTGCAGCGGAAGAAGTGTGTGGAACAATAAAAAGAGGCAGTAGTAAAAGAAGAGATGCATGGTGGAATGATGAAGTGAAAGAAGCTGTAAAGAAGAAGAAGAAAGCATGGTTAGACTACTTGGCCTCTAGTAATGATAAGGATATGAGAGAGAAGATGAAAGAAAGATATAGGCTGCAGAAAGTTCACACGAAAGCACTGATTGAGGAAGTTCGTGAAAGGTGTAGAATGGAAGCGGACGAAAGGTTGTCGCACAACTTCAAGGAGAACTCCAAACTCTTCTGGAAAGAGGTTGGAAGGACCCGAAGTGGTGCGACGGCCTTAAGAATGAACAAAGTGCTTTCGAGAACTAATGACGTCCTCTCAGAAAAATCGGACGTCATGCAGCGATGGAGCGAATTTTATAGAGAAATGTATGCGTGTGATGATCTTAGTGAGGGATCCGGGGATGACGCCGTGACTGGTACGCCAGACCCGGACCTCGATGATACTGAGGTCATCAGGATGAAAGAGATTGAACGTGCGATTCGAAGTTTGAAATGTGGTAAGGCTGCGGGACTAGACAGAGTTACTGCTGAAATGGTCAAGTATGGTGGGCCTCGCGTCTGGGACAGCTTTCATCTGCTGTGCAATTTGTGCTGGCGGACGGGGGATGTCCCGGATGATTGGCGATCCGCAGTCATTGTGCCTTTATATAAAGGTAAAGGTTCACATTTTGACTGCGGGTGCTATCGGGCGATCAGCTTGACCAGTTTAGCAAGTAAAGTTTACTCGAAGGTTTTGACACGTAGGATGCAAGAGAAATCGGAAAGATTTCTATGGGAAGCACAATGCGGATTTAGACCTGGAAGAGGATGCACGGATCAAATGTTTTCTCTCCGCATGATCACGGAGAAGCTTCTGGCTGCTAACCAGAAGATTTTCTGTGCTTTTGTGGATCTTGAGAAAGCATTTGATAAGGTTGTAAGGAAGAAAATGTGGGAACTGTTGCCGGGGTATGGTGTGGATGGTCGATTGCTAAGGGCTGTGCAGTCTCTTTACTGTGACTGTAAAGCCTGTGTGCGGGTAGGGCATGACCTGTCACCCATGTTTGACGTCATGTCTTCCTGGCTGTTCATACTGTATCTCGACAGCTGTTTACAGAAGCTGAAAGATAGTTGTTTGGGTGTGAAATTGGGTGACATTAAAGTAAATTGTCTGCTGTATGCTGATGATGCAGTGCTTATTGCACCATCAGAGGCAGAACTGCAGGCATTAGTCACGTGTATGAAAGAGGAATGTGAAATTAAAGGTCTCCGTTTGAATGCTAATAAAACTAAGGTTCTGGTATTTGAAAGGGACGAAGAGAGAACGAAGTGTGAAATATGGGTAAATCAGGAATGTCTAGAACAGGTAAATGAAATTGCATACTTGGAGAGTGCTTTTAGCCGGGATGGAAGATGTGATTTAGATGTGGACAGGCGTGTCGCTGCCGGGAACAAAGTCAATGGTGCCCTGACTGCGTTAGTCAAAAGGCAAGGCGTAGCGAAGAGTGCACGCCTTGCAATACATAACGCAGTGTTGGTACCGACTTTGTTATATGACAGCGAAACCTGGGTATGCCAGAAGAAGCATAAAAGTAAGTTGAATGCAGTGGAGATGCGATCTCTTCGTAAAATGTGCGGCGTTACCATGGCCGACCGAAAGCGAAACGAAGAGATTCGCAATATGGCAGGTTTGAAAGATGACCTTATCACAAAAATTGATAAGGGCGTGCTTCGGTGGTTTGGGCACGTTGAGCGAATGAGTGAAGACCGAATGGTGAAGAAAATATATAGCGCGAAAGTTAATATTAAAAGGTGTCGAGGTAGACCGAGACTAACTTTCGAAGACCATGTGAGCAAATTGTTCGAAGAGGGTAGGGTCAAAAGTACTCGGATACCTAGACGTGCATGCATGAAGAAGATAATGAATCTGAAAGAAGCGAAAGAGGTTTGTAAGGATCGTGACACTTGGCGATCTGTTCTCTCTGGCTACCCCGTCAGGGATTGTGCGTGAAGATTAAGTAAGTAAATAATGTAATATGGAATCTTGGTATGGGGTACCAGTGCCCGTGACATAGAAACTATCTTTTTTGCATAAGAGCAATTTATAACCTAGGTCTGAAGTAATCCCTTAGAGAAAAATTTACAGAAATAAATATATTAACTTTGGCCTCTCAATATATTTACGAGAATTTAATGTATGTACACAAAACAAACATAGTTTTATTAAAAATAGTGATGTACATTCTGGAAATACCAGGAACAAGCACAAGTTAGTTATACCAGTTACTCGACTCCAAAGAGTCGGTAATTCTTTTATAACAAAGTCCCAGAATATATGCATTAAGCAAAAATTGTCTAGTAAGGGTTATTAATTATTATACTACTAAAGACTACATGAATGATATTAACCCCTGGGAATGACGTGATCGCTACCATGCTGTTTCAAAAGGAAAAGTCCCGCTGGGTTTCTTGCTGCTTGCCAGGCCAGAGGTTTTTCCGAACCAGTTGTAAAAGTAAAAAATTACTTACAATAAGTATTACTGTAATCTATATTGAATAAAAATGATTATATTCTATTCTATTAAAAGTTAATCTTTTAAAATATGTATAAGTATATGAATATTTTATGTTTAATATATGTGTTGCTCTTTAATTTTCAGATAACCCTCATGACAGAAGGCCCGATAGTGATCCCTTAAGAGTGCCGCCGAGACCTTTACCAGGTGTGCGTCCAGACAGTCATGACTTATGGTTTGTGACATTTTTTTTTTGTGTAACCATCCTAGTAGTTAACAATTTTTTTAATTTATCTTAGATATTCAAACATAACACTATTTATTTTAAACCTATCAGATATTATGTTATGTGTTTGATCAATTTGCCTTCCACGTTAGAAGTAGAAGAAATTTAGTATCCAGCTTTCTTGGTGTCAGTATAAATTTAATGTATGGTGGCAGCATAAGAGAATCCATCATCTGTGGTACGCCCATACCTAAGATGAAATCAACAGGGAAGTGAAGGTTCACCTAATTTTATAGCTTCCAGTGGTAAACCAGTGTATGTATATAATTCAAATGGAGTATTCACAGTTCGACGACGGAAACAACGGCAAAGTTGCCAGCTGTCGGTAAACAGGAACAAATCATAGTATGGCTATGTACCAACAATCTACAGTTAACGGCTTTCAAAATTTTGAAATACATGTATATCAGTTATAGGTTCATAACTAACATCAATTCAACAGCATCCACTTCAGGAGTCTTTATTACCAGTCTGTCAAATTTGGATTAAGCGTCTTGGATGGATTCTCTTTCATCAGTAGTCCACTTGACCTCACCCAGCGAAGAGCGGTCCGAAAAAAATCAACTTATCTATCTATCTATTTATATTTTTATCGTACATGCTTGGCGGTTCACTACTGTGCTATTTACCAGAAGTTTTCTGATGCTCACGACTTCTCTGTGGAATTGGCTCCCACCAGGGATTATTCCGAACAGATACGACTTAGGGACCTTTAAAGAAACTTCAAATAAATGTAGACAATGTATCTGTATAGGCGGCGGTAGTCATTTAAAATCGGGTTAGCCGCACGCTCATTTCAAGTACAGTTGAGGTTATGATAAAAAAGATATGGGTGAAGGCAAATTAACTACGTACTGTTTTAAATAAATACAAATTTTGATTTACACACAATTAACTATGACGATACGACGACGAAAATACAGCTACGAATAAAAGCTATTGCAATGTGAGTGACATTTGAAATGGGGACTTATTTTTAGCCAACTTCGAAAAAGGAGATGTTCCAGAAATGTATGGAGCCTGGGCTAGCACTATGTACACTATATGTAAATACCGCTATATAATATAGTAAGCGTTTTTTATTGTTAGTTTTCTTTAATTTCACTTCGTTTCAATGTACATTCAAATTAACTTAGTCAAGGAGAGCAACACAACATTAAATTAAACATGGTGGATCACACAGAGAAAACCATAGACTTAGTATAGAAAACACGAAATGTCATTTTGACATTTAACATTTGATTGTCGTGTATTGTAATATCAACAATAAATAAAACAACACGAATTTCGAAAATCTTGGATGGATACGATAAACTTAGACTACAGGATATTCAACTCGATTGCGGCAGCACATCTTATATCACCTATTAGAGTAGTTAGAGATTGGTTATATCGAAATGAAACGAAGGCTTGAAAGTTATTTTGTTTATTAACACTTTCCTGCTGCTTCATTCTTTAGTGCCTATCAATATATTCTGGACTTCAATAATTCATAGGCGAGCAGTGAGCTGTGCAGTATCTGACAACTGCAAGTTATTGTTAAACTAGTTAACTATGCCTATTACACAGTAACAGCTGAGAAGATACCAACTATTTTAATTCAATTAGGCAGGAGCAGCATAATCAGCCTATAATGTTCCCACTGTTGAGGCATATACTTCCTTTCTGTGAGGGATTGGACTGTGTAATCCACCACGCTAGCCCAGTGTCCCAACTTAACACTATCAATTTTTTAAACAAGTTCTATGTTATATAATTCCTAGTATTAGCGACATCAAAAAACGCTAGAAATCAGTCATGAGAGGTATATAAATAAAACAACTTGTTGGAACTTATGATTTCATTCGTTTTCCACATCATCCCTTATTAATATTCCATCCAGGAATGACACCGGTGCTTCTATGCTCTCTTGGTACTGAGCCCAACCCAAACACCACACAGTGGTCATGACATGAGCACAGCAACCCATTGTCCGATGTCCGGAGATACAATTACAATAATAGCTAATTATTTTATCATCCCCACTTGATCCTTCCCTTGCCAGCAATATGTAGGTATAATATGTTCGTCCTGAGCTATCGAGTTTTTATACAGGCTTTTATTAAAAAAAGGATCAAGTTGGGATGGGGTTGCTTCTGCTACTACTTCCAGTTGGTCCGATACTTCTACCTGAAATGATCCATGTTGCCTAATATGTTCCCCGAAATAGCTTCTAGCCAGTTTTATTTGATAGGTACCCAGCCCAAAAAGTATCAATCAGACATAGTCATTTTAGGGAAAATAATTAACTCTGGAAGTTGACCATCAATTTTTATGAATTGGGCTCTAAAACGGTTGATCCGGTTAGCAATTATAAATTCTGCTAAACGGTTGGGCATATTTTCACTCTGTATTGTGCAAGTATAGCTACAGCATTTGGTCTATTTTCAATCATTGGATCATTTTCATTTTGGAACAAAGCTTTCATGGTGTCATAATCTGATTTGGTTGTTGGATAGGGCCCCAAAATATCAATAATGTAACCATCAGTGGCAACAATGAGAAATGGTTTAACAAGGTTTCTATATTTGTGCAAGCTATAAGTTTATTTTTGAAACAAGTAGTTGGATGATTTTTGAAGATATATATAGGTACCATCACATATTATTATTGGTACTCTTGCCTCTCTGTTTCCAAACAAGCCCTCGGGTATTAATAAATTCCTATTAATTAAATCATTTATTCTGTGATTGATTATATATAATAATAATAATAAAATATATATAATTTTTCTTGAGTATTCCGGCACTCTATTTCGTTCTACATTGTTACAAGCCAGAACAAAACAATGAGCACTTCTGTGTTGTGTGTGTAAAACCATCAAGTGTTATTGATGCACTTGGTGGCTGCATATCAATTTGTTGCACAACTTCTTGCTCTATTCCTATATTTTCCTGTGCATGTGTCCAACAGTTGGAACAAATAAGCACATGTTCTGGTAACTGAAACAATACAAGAAACAATTTACTTATAGGGGCAACAGATAAGGTTACTTATAGTTGAATGTACAGTAACATTACTTATGTATGGTGGTTTGGTAAATTAAAACAATCTAACCTGATTTGGGTAAATTCTTGCTGCAACTTTATCTCTTACAGGACCACTAGCCATGTGTGTTAGCCTTCGGTGTAGAGACATTCTACACCATGCATACATTAGTCTTGGTGAAGGCTAGATGGGGTTGGAGTTTGCCGGTTATCCTCAATCCTTGTAGCATGCTCCACATTTTTACATATTGCTACCCAACAAGCATAGAAAACCAGTCCGCCTGGTGGAATCTGAATAAAAGAATACAATATGTATTGGCTATTCACACAATTATTTAATTCCAATACTAGGTAATTAAGTAAGTTGTTAATGTTACCTCTCTTGGATATATTGTTTCTGTTATTATGGTCCGTTCAGGTCCTTCAGGTATGGAGTGGCTGTGTGTCTGGGCAAGAGACCATCGGCACCATACACATACATTCATATTCATAACAACGGTAAAAGCTACTATGATTCCTTGTTGTTGTATTGTATGCCAAGTATGTACCCAACAAGCAAAACATATTAAAGCACCTTCAGGTATCTAAAACAAAAAATGTAAATAAAAAATGACTTTCAATAAGTATTATGTAATAATTAATATTGAATAAAAAAACATTCTATTATATTCTATGAAATTAAGATTTATTTATTTATATCACAATATTTCTAAATAATTTAAATTAATCAAGATTTAGTTATTTCAATATCACTTTTATAGACTCATCCGAGGTGATGTTATATATAAACCACATGTCTACACACATTTCCAAAAATTAAATTGTAACTGTTCTTTTTCTTCTTGAAACAATGTTGTCTTTGACTATAATTAAGAAACATCTACATTTGCATACCCTTGTATGAATAAAAAAGAAAACAAAAGGGGTGCTTACCTCTCTTGGAGTAATTGTTTCAGCAATATATTGCCTTTCGGCACCCTCGGGAATAGAGTGAGCACACCTAAAGAAAGATGTCCTACAGCTAACACAAACATTACTATCATGGCAATGCTGGAGTTTGTGATCTCCGCGTGCAAGAGCACTATCATTAGACATTTCTTGTATTATAAACCATATAACAAACAGAGGGTCAACAGAGAAGCAATAAATCAATGTCCGTAGTAGTAAACTGGGTCGCAAAACAAAAATAATCACTAAAAACTCCGAAACACATCCAATAACAGTACATATATTATAACCCTAAAGAATAATCAATAAAGAAAGCTTATATATTACTATACTCTTCGAATTCGAAAGAAAGACTCAAAGAAGTCTAGTCACTTCTTAAAACTGTCAAAGTCGTCAAACGTCACATCTATTAGATAATACAACTGTCATGGCTGCCCTTAAAATAGGGTTATCATAACAAAAATATTTTTAAATGATCATTATTGTACGGCTATACCCTTTTTCAAATTAATTTGTTAGTATTTTTATGAAATTCCTCAATTTTTTTCCTATTTATCTATGTAGTGTACATAGTGGTAGCCCAAAATCGAACATCTCCTTTCCTCCAATTTTCGAACTGTGAATACGACTGTGCTCCTTTTTTTTGTTTATCTACCCGCATAATATTTCATGATTCGCCTAGTGATCAATGAACAATGCGGTAGAGTTAAATAGTATTAATGAAAAACTTTTTACATACTTTAATTTTATTTAAGGGATATGCCACCTGCTCAACTACCTAATGTTGGACGATCAGATTTGGATCCCTTTGCACCTGGCGGCGGTGGAATGATTTTCAACCCATTCGGACCTCGAAGAGATATTGAAAATCCTGGATTAGGTGTACCGGGCGGGCTACCAAGGTTGTTATTACATTTGATCTTATATTTATTGCTAGAGTGACTCTAAATGTTATTAGTCTTAACATAGACTTTTGAATTTAGAATCGTCCTAAATTGGGTATTTAACACTTTACTCGATTTAAATATTTTTAAGAGTTGTTAATACGATAATTTCAATGAAAGTTGTATGAGAATATAGTACAATAACATCATATTTTTGTAGTCAAAAGTTATAGTACGAGGGCGGCACTGAAAATTTCGGGAATCAAGGAAGTGACACAACATTACTATTTAAAAATGTATTTATTGCTTTTCAAAGTATTCTCCGCGAAATTTGACACATTTTTCCATACGATGGAACCAATAATTGAAGCAACCATTCCATTCGGAAGTTGGGGTCTCCAAAACGGCCGTTTTGTAGGCGTCCACAGCTTCTTCAGGTGATGAAAATCTCTGTCCACGCAATTTATTTTTTATTTTAGGGAAAGTATAGAAATCATTAGTGCTTAGGTCGGGGCTGTACGGCGGATGGTCTAATAATTCTATGTTTTCTTGCTCTAACAACTCTTTTGTTCTGTGTGCGGTGTGAGAACTCGCATTGTCGTGATGGAGGATGATGCGGCGGTTGCAGTTCTCCTTACGGAGTTTAGAAACGACCTGTAGCAAACAAATGCTAGCATACCATTCTGTATTAACCGTTCTTTGTCGCTCAAGAGGAATAGTCGTAACATGGCCGGTTTTGGAGACAAACGTGGCCACCATTTTTTTTGCAACACTCCGGGAACGAACAATTTTTGTTGGCTTAAACTCTGATCACTGAGCTTGACACGTCCACGTTGAAATTCAGCAAACCAGCGATAAATTGTGGTTTTGGATGGGGCTTCCTCACCAAATGCAGAAATCATCCGGTCAACACACTGTTTTTGTGTTAAACCACTTCGAAAGTCATAATAAATCATCGCTCTTGAATTTTCTCGCGTCAATTCCATTTTCTCAACGACTAAACAAGTTTGACAAAACCTTGTGACAAGACCGATAATCTTTTTTTAAATAAATAAATGGTATTCGATTTTTAAAACCAAGGACTTTTCAATTAAAAAAAATTTAATCTGACAGGAACAGTGGAAATATTCCATTCCCGATACTTTTAGCAGCCCTCGTACATTACTGAATGTATTAAATTAAAATTATAAGATGTAATAATATATTCATGACAATGTCAACTAACCAATTGAGATACCTACATAAGAAGTTCTTCATATAAGTTAGATGTAGATGTTTATGGGGTATTAGTAACCTGTACTGATGTTCTGCTGGTCGATTCCGTTAATAGCCCGACACTGTTGGCCAACAACTCCGTAGGACGTATTTCTTAACAGCTTTTAATGGGGAACTAATGCCTGCATCATATATTGCATTGTGGCAATCTTTGGGGTTTGTAGCCAAGAAAATGGCAGAGTGTTACCGAGAGGCAAAGTATTCAGCCCAGAAGCTGATATTCTATATATGTACTCATTCAGATAATTTATTAGCCGCTAGCACACGCAGTACATGGGACCGACAGAACCAGAAGAAAAAAAGGAAGTTAATAAGCAACATTGTTGCCATATACATGAGGGAACAATTATTTATGGCTACATATTATATAAATATATTAAAGTTTTGTTTTTACCATCGAAAAATATGATTCAAACAACTTTTATATTCAGGTTTTGTACTAAACATAATATGTAATAACGTTTAATTTGTATTTCCAATATAATGTACAGAGGAGCGGTTCCACCGGGAGCACGATTCGACCCGTTCGCACCACCTGGCGTCGGTCCTATGCCAGGGCGCCGGCCGCCGCCTCCCGACGCCGATCATTTTCCGCCGCCCGGCTTCAACGATAATATGTTTATGTGATTTTGTGTAAAAAATATATAAATGTTGCTTAGCATTCAACACCGCGAACGTATTGAAATATAAAATGCTGTGATTGAAAGTTAGCAATCATATGTGACCTTATATATTATATGTAAAATATATATTCTTGTAACTGGTTCTTATAAATTTGTGCATGTGTAAAGGAATCCTCATCTTTGCTTAGCACACAACACCGCTTAAGTAATTTTGACTTACTTTACAGGTGACTGAAAAAGTTGTATATTTTATCGAATTGTAGAGTTTTTAAGCTCTAATTAGTAATAGTTACTCTATTTATTGATTACAAATAATTTAATGGGCTTGTTATATCATTTTAATTGATATTCAATTATTAAGCGGTGTTGCGCAAAATTAAACTAGACATAGGCCACGTTATTTAAGTAAATACAGAGAAAATAAAGTAATTAAAAATCGATTGAAATTAAAGTTTATTTATTAATATTTTTGTAGTTTTTAATACAAAAATTACATAATTGATAGAATCAGGCGTTACTTCGCGGAAATCCATTATAATGGGGTTTTTATAAACTCGAGTACTTCACCTAAGGATGCCTCGTGAAGAGGCGAAACACATGTCGTATTTTCGAGAGTGGTGTGCCGTGCCTAGTGTGCTGGTGCTGGGGGTGGTAGTGCTGGGATTAACGGTGACGGGTATAGTGCGCGCGATTGAGGGAGGGTGGGAGGTCCCCTGAAAACTAGGCAGGACACATCATTTTCTTTCTTTACGAGGAATTAAGCAATTTAGTTTATAAAAACCCCACAAAAATTACAGATTTAAGTCTAATCAGTCTACTTTTAAGCATAATGAGTAACCTACCTAGGCAATCAAATTGTCCAAATTATATTTTTATTCGGAATATTTTGCATGTCTTAACCGAATGTGACTTCTAGGTATTTTTGGGTAATTGATTTAATTTACCACGTTTTTATCAACTCGCATTCGAGTGTCTGTTTGAATCGAATTTAATAATTTATTTTAATAATTGAACCACCCGATGAAGTGTAGACATTAAATTTTAAACATAGCTCAGAATCGCATGTGAAAAACATGAAAAAAATTATACTGTTTGGTCTATTTATTAATTATTTATTCCTCCACTGGTAACGAGGCATTGATTGAGTTAGCGTTTATATTCTGAACACAGTGTTCGCGCCAAACGCTGTTTTCGAAATCGACGTCAGAGGGCGCGCGGCTCGGTGCCATACCGGTTTTGTAGTTCGGGCTAGTTGGATGTGTCGAGCGCGCGCGAGTGCAAAGCAGTCGTCTGTCAGCTGTGCTAACGATAGCACACTGTCATTTTTGTTTGGGAACCGCGGAATAGTTTAGGCTTCTAGTAAACATCCTGTCTAGGATTTATAACGCGCATTCCTTGTTGGGTAGCCTTTCCCGGGACTTATTGGGTCCGACTCAGAATCTCTATAAGTGCATTCGACAATATTAGCTAGTGCGGCCTTTGATATTCTAGAAATAACTGTTGCTACGCGAAACGGTAGTGACCTTTGATCCGGACACTTCGTGTTCGTTTTGTGCGTTAACCTTATAACAAACGAGAGTTAGTGGCTTCTGTAAGTATCGTACGATAGAGTTAATGGACTGTCGTCGTGACGAACGAAGAAGTGGTCCGGCGCCGAAGCAGTCTGAAGCGGTGCAGCATTTTGGAGCAGCCTGGAACTCGGCCGCTGCTGGTCGCCTATGCTTGACAAGGCCCCACACATTCACACCTCACTGTACACTACTCGCCATCCACTATTACACACACTCACGGCCTGCCCAAGCCTTGGTGCGAAGTTAGCTTCGGAATGGTAAGTACTATGAGTTTCTAGCTTCCTCCCATATTGTTTATTGTAATTAGGAATTTCACGTGGCCATATTCTGGCCCCGTCTCTCTGCTGCTCGTCGATGGAATTACTCATGGGCACTAATCCCATCATCCTTGATTGGGGCAGCTAGGGGCGTGTACACACAGCATCCATCTCAAAACAAAATTACCTGCAACGAGTTCTCACAAACCCTTAAAAATGATCACCTAAACATGACGCAAAAGCTAGAACCTGCTGGTTTTCAACTCATCAAACTAATAGCACATCACTTCCTTGGTTGCTAAATTGTACATAGTGAAATTGTGCAGCATTTTGGAGCAGCCTGGAACTCGGCCGCTGCTGGTCGCCTATGCTTGACAAGGCCCCACACATTCACACCTCACTGTACACTACTCGCCATCCACTATTACACACACTCACGGCCTGCCCAAGCCTTGGTGCGAAGTTAGCTTCGGAATGGTAAGTACTATGAGTTTCTAGCTTCCTCCCATATTGTTTATTGTAATTAGGAATTTCACGTGGCCATATTCTGGCCCCGTCCCTCTGCTGCTCGTCGATGGAATTACTCATGGGCACTAATCCCGTCATCCTTGATTGGGGCAGCTAGGGGCGTGTACACACAGCATCCATCTCAAAACAAAATTACCTGCAACGAGTTCTCACAAACCCTTAAAAATGATCACCTAAACATGACGCAAAAGCTAGAACCTGCTGGTTTTCAACTCATCAAACTAATAGCACATCACTTCCTTGGTTGCTAAATTGTACATAGTGAAATTGTGAACGCACATCTTAGTTTTGCAGATATGGGGCTAATTTCACTGATTTAACATGTGTGATCACTTGCACCTGATTGCGTATCGCGTTTTGGCAGTGTATTTTCCTTTTATAAATCGATCCTTCTTTGTTACATGTTCAGCATATTTTTCATCAGTGATGTTTCCAGTTTTATGACTGAAGCACAGAACACTATTGCTGTCTACCTGCACCTAACTTCACACATCATATGTGATGTTTGAACGTGTTTCGAGGATAAGCTCAAATTGTGACATGTGTTTTTAGGATGAAATACGCCCAAATTGAGCTTCATAAATATTTGATCGACATACAGTAGTTTTCGGCAAACACATTGACCAGACTCGAATTCGTAATTGTCTTTGTACATATATATTCAATTAACGCACTGAGGATATTATTGAATGTTTGTGATACCTATGCTGAGACCCACGGTCTCATGTATAATGTTAAGAAAAGTGTATTATTGGTGTTTCGCGCTGGATCAAAAATTGAATCGATTCCTCCTGTTAAGTTGAGGAACGTACAGTTAAATAGGGTGTTCCAGTTTAGGTATCTTGGTCACGTATTAACCGAGGATCTGACTGATGATGCGGACATAGAAAGAGAAAGAAGGGCATTGGCGGTTCGCTGTAACATGCTGTCCCGTAGCTTTGCACGCTGTACTGAAGAAGTTAAAATAACACTTTTCAAAGCCTTTTGTCAGTCATTTTACACGTGCAGTCTATGGGTTAAGTATACGCAGAGAGCCTACAATGCCCTTCGGGTACAATATAACAATGCCTTCAGGGTGCTGATGGGACTTCCGCGGTATTGTAGCGCTTCAGGGATGTTTACAGTGTACGGTACGGATGACTTTCATGCTATTATCCGAAAGAGAATCGCATCCCTATTGCGCAGGGTTCGTGGGAGCTCCAATAGCATTCTGAGGGCAATATCTGATAAATTTGATTGTCCCATCCTAGGACACTGGATGCGTATGCACTTGCATGTGCCTGGTGTCATGGGGTGTCGAAAATAAAAATAATTGAAATTAAAAATGTGTGTGTAATAATCTAAGACTAACATAGGTTAAGCTAATTACTAACATAATTATGGACTATATGTGGGTCTGAAATAAATTATTATTATTATTATTATTATATGTCATATTCAGGAATACTTGTTCTAAATATTCTCGTGATGTACTGGCGCGGCAGAAATGTGACGGCATCTTGAAAAGACCAGCTAAGTTTTTCTCGACGTTCGGTTCCACAAGGTTTCTTAGGTGCACGTGAGTTGCTCGTTGAAGTGGCTGGGTCTGGAGGCGTTACAAAGTTACTTTTTTCAATCAATATCTGACAAAGCAATCCTTAATTCCAAATGTATCCAAAAATATTTTCTTATATACTTGGTAACGGTTATTATCAATCATAAAAAAGAAAAGCTTTGTTTAAATTCGTGGTAACATGAGGACATACAAATGATCTTCGCTGTCCCCAATTGTTTTTAAAAGATAAAATATGCAATGTACAATTTGTGGGAGAAAATAACAAAGGTTTATTTTTTATTTGTTTTATAATGATTTCTTATATTAACTCGAACACTACACATTGCATAAAACTACTTTTACGGAATTAAGTTGTATTTATGATCGAACAATCAGCAAGAGCGATCGAACAAACAATATTTAGTAAAAACTAATTACTTTACATGTGTACATGAAGGGATAAAAGTTAAAATTTACAATAAGGGGGGCCAACCTAAGGATATTTGTTTAATTAATTATAAATAATTAAAAGACCAACAGACGTTTTTCTTATTTTTTTACGTGGTAGAGCCATGCTGCAGCTATATTACTGGTATAGTTGTAGCATGAATGGGTCGCCTCGACCGGGGTGGGACCACGCTCTTACGGAATACCAGCGTAAAATTGCAGCTTAACGCTACTATGTTTCGTATGGTGAGTGCAAAGAACCGAGGCATTTCATCTTTAATCTTACGGGTGACAACGCATTTGCATTTTGATTCGTAATCGAGGATAGATGTAGATGTCTATGGGCCACAACAACCACTTACCATCCGTTGTACTGTGTGCTCGTTTGTTACCCTTATTTTATAAAAAAAAAATATGTTTGGACAATGTGGGCGTCCACGACTTTTTCTGCCACCAGGGCGGCGCCACTAGAAAGTGAGGTATAATATTAGACAGATTTCATAGCGGGGAAGTTAATATATTCGGAAAATGTAAAGGTTTTAACAGTGGTAGAGCCACGCGGCAGCTTTTGCTTTCGCACGGATGGGCTGGCTCGAACCGGGGTGGTACCACGACCTCACAGAAAACCAGCGTGAAGTAGAGGTTTGCCTCTGCGTTTTGCTTGGTGAGTGCAGGTGGCCGTGAAGCCCTTTTTACTGGAAATGAGGCATTCCATCTTAGTCCTCACGGGTGACAACGCATCTACATTTTGATTTGTAATAGAGGATAGATGTAGATGTCTATGGGCCGCAGCAACCACTTACCATCAGGTGGACTGTGTGCTCGTTTGTCACCCTTATCCTATAAAAAAAAGGTTATTGTTTCTTTCTGCACTATTAGCTATATGTTATATTAATAAGGTTAAAAATAAATAAACCAAACCACACATATTCCTTAAAGTATAAAAATTAACAAGGGAGCTAAAAATATGCAAAAATTAAAGAGCAAACCACGAGGCATTGTTTTGTGTATTAATTTAATGATCTAAAAACTGATAAACTTTTATTAAAAACCAACTTCGCAATTAAGTTACATTGTGTAACAAAAAACTTTACCTCGGTGTCGACTACCGACATCTGGTGATCA